CGACCGCCGAGGCCCGTTCGGGCCGGTGGCGACAAGGCCACATAAATTCTGCATGCAACGTGGATAACCATGCATAAAAGGCTAAAGAAAAGTCACAAAATGAGCAAAAGATGAATCATGGATCACGGAAACCAGCTGGTACAGCAGTTGCAGGGCACAATTCAGGTGTGTTTGAAACTGGTCAACATGTAGGTGATCCAGGTGATCCAATTGCACCGAATGCGCAGTTGGTCGGTGGCTTGGCTAAGCCAAATCATGTCTCGGTCATTGGATCATAATTGCAACTAGATCATCCTTGCACTGCTGATGATGGAATAAAGACGAAATTGGAGCTGGAAAAAGCAGTTGCAAATGTGCCTAGTGCTATTTTGCGGCTAGAAAAGGTTGTATCTGCAGCAGGTGCAGTAGAAAGTGCAGCTACTGACACATTGCTAGAATCTGATCTTGCATAGCTTGTTGGAAAGGTAGCTGATACCTCTACAATGATGGGGTGTTGCGGATGGGGCTGTTGCTGGTGCAGAAAATGTTGCATCAAAATCAAGTTTGACAACAACTAGCAAGTGTCATTCAAAATGGGATTTTGCTACAATTGTTGAGGCTGCATCTGAATCAGAAGAAGATCCGGAGGAGTTCATCTCTCATGTTCATAGAAACCTAAGGCCGAAGCATAGTTTTGAGACAGTCATTGAACCAGATTTGGCTGAATTTCACCCAGATATCCAACATGACTTATGTGTCCTTGAAACAACATGTAGATATGGGTCTCACACTCTGAAAAAAGTTCAGATTCCTAAGATTAAAAAAGCCTCTCTAGATAAGCCTAGAACTTGATCACGGAGAGCCAAGTTTTCCAAACTATCTTGATGTATGCACTAGTTTGCTTGTTTTTGGTATTTGACTAGATATAATGTTGTACATTGGCTTTGGCCTATGATCCATTTGTTTTTTGTTTTTTCTTTTCTTTACTTTACATTTTATCGTGGGTTTTGGTTCGGTCCCCCCACTTGTACTTTTACTTTCCTTTATATTTTAGTCCATTCTGATATGTTACAGATGATTGGTGTGGATTGAGTGCTAACCTAGTTAGGATCTCTTGTCCACAAAGTGATGCCTTAACATATCTATCTTTTTCCAAAAAAAAAAAAAAAGTAGTGTCACTTATAGATATGTCAATATTTTCTATATAATTAGGATGATATGTTAATGGTGGAGCAAAATTGCTTAATTTTGAAATTTATGGGAACCAAATTGGTAATAAAAAAAAATTTTGGGAACCAAAATTGTACATTCATAAAATTATAGAGACCAAAAATGAATTTAAATAAAAATATATATATTTTTGTTTATATATTTCCTAATTTTGTTTTTCATTATAAAAATGTCACTATTTTTATTTGAGTTAATCATTCATACACTGCAGTATAAAGTTTTTTACACTGGCAACTAATCATATCTTTTAAAGTTGCTTATTTTATTATTATTTCATTAAATAAGCAACTGACATGACACTATTAAAAGATATGATTGGTTGCTGGTGTAAAAACTTTATACTAGTAGTGTATAGGTGATTAACTCTTTTTATTTTACATTTTAAGATTTATAAATATGACAATGAAAATAACTTTTGTAAATAGGAAATAAAGTAAAAATAGGATAACATTTATTTTAGACAAAGATAATTTTTTTTCTTCTATTAAGCATACCCTTAAGTTGTGCAATAGGTGGCTTCAATGTTTTCCCAATTGAGTGGGCAAAAAGTGAAAAAGGTGTGAATTGTGGTGGAAATCAAAATTATGTGCCGTTCCATTATATGCACTTGGAGACGGGTCGACAATTGAATTTGGGCAACTGTGTAGAGTTGTGGCTTCAAAGACACCAAAAAGTAAAAAGAATAAAAAGAAGAAGAAGAAAAAAACAGTAAAACAATAAATTGGTAATATGCCTTTAAACATCCCTATTCCCTAGGGTTAGCTTTGCAAGAAGACACACGTTAATAATTGAGTTTTAAACTTATTGTTTGGTGTCGGTGGTGCTGAGCTGTGGACGTCATTCCTTCTTCACTCATCTTATCTCATCCAGCCATTTAGAGGCATGACTCCTCTTTGCTTCCTTTGGTTATATATATATATATATATATATATCATACTGGTCTATTTTCATGAATAAATTAAATGTTTAACTAACTATATTTAAATTTAATTAATAATTTAATATTTATAATTTAATATTAATTATAAAAGAGATGATTTTTAAATTAAATAAAAATTAAATTCAATTTTTTTAATATTTATTTATGAATTATTATTTTAAAATTTGTTAAATTTTACGTTGACGACAAGATCTATTATGATTTAAGGAGAGATTTATTTATTATAGAAATAAATTTATTTAAATTTATTTTATTCAATAACTCATAATCTACATCAAATTTTAACGATTTAATTATTAAATTTAAAGTTCTTAATGTATATAAATTAAGTGTGTAAACTTTTAAAAAATTTAAAAATTATTTAAATATTTTATTTCATAAATTCAAATCAACTTATAAAATGATTTTATGGTTACTTATCAATTTAAATTAATAAAATAAAGTATCAAATAATTTTTAAAATTTTTAAAAATTTATAAATTTAATATATACATTTAGAATTTTAAATTCAATGGTTAGTTCTTTAAAATTTTGTATAAAATATAAGTTATTAAATAAAATAAGTTTAGGTAGATTTATTCGTAAAATAAATAGACTTTCCTATATTTATATATATATTGGTCTATTATATAACCTAGATTTTATAATTTTTTTTTTTTTTTTAGCGGATTTGGTCGCTTCAAGTTCAGGGTAAGAGTTAAAGTAAATCATTTCAGTTTACCTTTTATCAGTTTTATTTAAGCTGAATGAATGTTTCAACTTTTTTAGAAAGTTGACATGGGGGTAAAAAGTTTGTTATGTTTGGTAGAAGAGAATAAAAATATTTCTTGCGAATAAAAAATGCTAAAATTATCAATGAGTGAAAAATAAGAATATTTTTCCCTCATTTTTAAAGTTAAAAAATAAAAATTTCGTCTAGTAATTAAGTTATAAAGTTACTAATTTTATTTTCATGATAATTCATTATAAACATAACAGTTATAGGAAAATATTCATCAAAAAATTTAGGAATCCTGTTTCTGAATTCTCAAGTGTTTTGATTATTCACATATGAAACTAACCTTAGAGGCAAGTTAGATACAGAGGGTGGCACTTTAAACCGAATAGTAACTTATGACTATTTCAAAATATATTTTCCTTTTCAAATCTTAAGAAAGGGTCCTGATGTTTGGACATGCGTTGTCCTGACAGTTTCTTAGCTTAAAGTCATGGCAAATTAATTGGATTCGCTGTCCCAAGTTTTACGACAAGAAAATGTCAAGTTGAAAATAAATTGACGGGTGAAGATTTCGTGATAGGAGCAATTGGCTGCAAATTTGGACATTTAAAGTTGGATGAGTATACATTTCACATATACTTGAAAACTGACCCCATATATCTAGTCAAACATTCACACCCTATGCATTTGAGGAAGGGAAATCATTCTTGTCCATTAATTATGTGCACGTAATTTCATTTGTATCATCATTGAATGAATTAGAGAAAGAGTAATGCTATTTAGTCCGCAACAATTGGCCGAAAACTTTTCGGAATACTTGGACAAAAGTTGACGTTTGTAAACTTACATGTTTGACTTTTTTAAAATTTTAATAGTTCGGAAGTTGTTTCACATTCAGAGGATTTAGCATTTTTGTTAGAGAAAAAGAAATGGAAGACAGATGGTGATGATTTTGCTTATGCAAGTTGTGTAAGTTCGTTGTGTGCAACTTATTGTTGGGTAGAATGTCCTTTCTTTCTTTCTTTCTTTCTGGTTTCTTTCGAAGAATACAGGAGAGGAAATCATTGCAAGCAAAAGTATGAAGATTACTCAACAGCAGAGCTTGATTTATCAGCTCACTTGTCTGCTTGGAGACATATTAAGAGACTACGAATGAGAACAGCCACAGTTACTACTCAAATGTGTTAGATTCAGCTTTCATTATCTACTTTTGCTAAATAATTTGCTTCAAATGTCAAAAATAATAAAGAAGCTACTTGAGAAAGGTTTAATATGACATACATCGAAGCCTACATGAGGCATATCCAATCATGCGGCCAATCTGATTCTAAGCCATTTGGTTTCTTCATGGTCCTGTTTTAAGCTTCCATTCCCTTTTTGGTATCCAACATAAATCCTATTGGCAATACCATGCCAACAAAAGCAAAGAAACTCAAACTGAATCTCCAAAAATGTTTCTATGAAGGGTCACACATGAGTGTGAGAAATGGTAGCGGAGACAACAGGTATATGTTGATTTACTTGTCAATGGAAGAACTGAATTCATTAAATATGGGATGCTACATTCACACCACAATGAATAACAAAGAAGATAATAAACAGATTTACTTTACACAAAAAATCTATATTAGCATTTACCACCAACCAGTATAGACTAAGCAAACAACCGCCAAAAAGAGGTGTTTGGAAGCAAGCCACGAACACATGAGTGAGGGTCAGATCAAGGTGCATATTCATGTTCAAGGGTAGGCTGTGTTCGAGTCACCGTGGCAGCCGGTGCTTTGGTATCAGCAACAGTGGCCATATGAAGTGCTTCTCCGGCCTCAGAAGCCCTCTCCATCCGTTGTATTTTCTTGTTTTGCTTATACTTAAGCAGACACAAAACCAGCAAGCACAGCAGCACCAACAACACAAGTCCACCCAAGAGTGACCCCACAATAACCCCAACCTTGTTGCTACTCTTTCCACCACTCGGTGGTGAAGGAACAAGAGCAGACTCAACCACAATGGAGAAATGGCCCTGTGTGGAGGTGGAGCACGTGTTGCCACCTGTTACATTGCTGAAATTGGATGAACCCTGCAAATCAAAGCAAACACATCTTGCAACGGCACCCAGAGGAGGGTCTTTGACATCACTGAACTTGACCCTTATGGGGTCAGCAGAGGCATTAACGCTGAGCGTTGGTAAATTGGTAGCTGACAAATTGGAGCCATTGTAGGCCAAGAGTCCCAAAACAGGAGCCAAGTAAGTGTAATTGGGCAAAGGGTAGTACTTATTGGACAAATTCCCCAAATTTTGGTACACCAAAACCAGCCTCTTCACATAGGGCTTCTCAATCACCCCTTTGGGAATCTCAAACTCGTTGTAACTGCGAACCCCTCTTTTCCTCAAACTGCCACTCCTTAATCTCAATGCACCAATCTTAACCCCAGTGAAATTGGAAGGAAGCTGAGATGTTGCATTGTAAATGGTACCTGTTTTGGGCCTCACCAAAGCCCTGTACGCATATTCTTGCAGAATTGCGTCAAGGGACTTGGCTTCGCTTGTAGACCCAGCCCTGACATGAGGAAGAAGCAGAAACAGCAGCAGAAGAAGCCTCATGGAGAATAATAATAATAAAGTTGGTGTTGACACGTTTTGGGTTTTATTGAGAAGAACAACGGGCAGGGTACAAACTACAAAGAACAATATTCTAAAGCAACTTTGAAGGTTTGTTTGAACTGAACCGTTGGGAAACTGGGGAATCTTGTGGGCATTTTCATTTCTCAAAAAGGAGACAACATGGGAGGTGGCTAAATACCTGAAAGCCCTTAATGATGTGTGTTATTTGGTGGGGTGGGCAAAGATGAGTCTTCATCAGAGTCCTCCATTGCATTTTTGTTCATTTGATTGAAATTGTGCTGAGGAAGAAAGAGATAAGTTATTGTGTGGAAGAGTGGTTGAGGTCCACTGGAGACTCACCACAGCTGGGACACCAGAACAAAAGCAGAAAGCAGCGTGACTCTGTGTCTGTGTTTGGCTTTGTGGCCCCTGGGTCTGGGATGAGATTGGGAAACAAAGAAAAACAACAACGTTTCCATTGTAAAATACTAAAACCCAACCCCCTTCTCCTTCTTCAATATCATCATTCTTCTCTCCTAAGCTTTTTACATTATTCAATATTAAATTATTTTTAACTTTGTTTTATAAAATATTGTCTAACTTTACATATGTTAATGTATACTTTTTATACTTATTAAATAACATAAATGATTTTTCTAAAAAAAATAAAGTCTACGTCTTGTCTCGTAAACTCGATTGAAGGGCTCCATTATTAAATAAGCTTACGTAGAGATGACAAAATGACAAGTTAGTTCCACCTTGAATTCTGTTCATCAAAATAAATACTCCACGTTTTATTTAGTAAATAAATACTCAAAGTCCAGTTTGAAGTTGCATTTTACGTCTAGACAGTTTTTTTAAATGAAATTTTTATATTAAAATAAAATATGACTCTTTGTATTGTAACAATGAAAAAAGTCAACCATTAATCTCTTTTAAAAAAATTTAATGATATTATAAATTATTTATTCAATTTTAAATTTTGTATAAATTTACATAAGAAGATATAAAAATATAATAAAAAATTAAAAAAAAAATCAAATTTAATCTCAAATCTTAATTAATAAAAACGAAAGAAACTAATCACTACCCATAACTTATATGTTTAAATAAATGATTCGACATTAACTTAACTAGTATTTGGCACATAGGAATGTAAGGGATTAATTTTTTATTTTATGTAATAAAAAAATTATCAAAATAAATATTATATATTATTATTATTATTAAAAAATTTAATAAATAAATATTTTTTACCATATAAATTATATCTTAATTTATCATAAATAATATATATTATAATATAAACTATTTTTAACTAATAGTAAATTTTTTAAATGTTAAAATTTAATTTAAAAATAAAACTGAAAATTATAATTAAAAAATTAAAAATTTAATAAAATTAATTAAACTATTGTTTTCAAATAAAAATAATTAAAATATTGTTTTCAAATAAAAATAATTAAAAACCCTTGAAAAATAATCTTTATATTATAGTAAATGATAAGAAATTATGAAAGAATTTTTAAACACTACGTTTAACAAAAAAAATTAAAACGATTCTATTAAATAAAAATAGCTAAAATAAAATAACGGCGTGTGTAATATATAGGAATAGATTAAAGAAAAAGGTCCCCCATATTAAGTTGGATTAAAAGAAGTCTCCAATGTATTCGGACCTAGAACTTAATGTCCTTATATTTCCATATGTTTACGCCGACTTTGTTACATATTAAGAAAATAATATTGATTCTATAAAAAGAAAATTGATATAAAATAATGAGTTAAATATGATTTTATTTCTTATTATAACATTGTAAGTTGTGATAGTATTATAATTATTCTTAATATGTTTTGTTATTAAGTTGAGTTGTTAATGAGTGTTGTTAGGCCTTAGGGTCTTAAGATCTCTTAGAAGACTTTGTTATAGTAAGGAGGGGTCTCTGGGTAGAGATCTGATCTGATCCTGAAAAGAAGAATATATAAGGTTTCTCTTTTGAACAGAGTCTCATAAAAGTTTTTCTCTCTAAAGTCTAGTGAGAGGATTCTAGATAGATAAGCTCTGGTCCATGGATTCCTTTCTCGTAAATCTACTCTTCTTCTAGAATTTTTCTCTTCCTTAGCTAGTTTTAAATTGCTTGTTGTGATTCAGGTAGGGGAAACCTTGAATCAAGTGGTTAATCTCGTGCATGGTTTCATTTCTTTCTTTCCCTCAATTTTGAGCTACTTGATGAACGGGAAGCTAGATTCTTACTTCTAATGAATTTATGGAGTTGTTAAATGATTGTGTTGGTTGTATGTTGTATGAATTCCTTGCAATTTGTGGCTATTTGTGGATCAAATCAAAGTGGGTTGTATGAATTCCTTGCTATTCTTGATGAAGAATGTGGTGATTTTGAGTTCATTTGTGATTGCAAGTTGATTCTAAGTGCATATATGTGTTGGTTGTAACATATGAAATTGTTATTTGATGTTGCATGTGTTGAATATTTGTTGGATTTCATATGTTGAGCCAAAAATTAGGTTTTACATACATATGCAGCATTTTGATATTGCACCAAGCGAGCCTTTTTGACACTGGCGTTGTTCTAACTTGATGTTCTCTGTCTCGATCATGCTAAGTGTAGGGTCGGTGGTGTATGGCATGAGGAAAGAGACTCATCTCGGGTTGGCACGATGTCGGTCGTGGTTCGAATGGCACTAGGCATTAGAACTTTAGGAGGTTTCTAACTTGGTGACGTCGGGTCCAAAGTTGAGTGGTGCCCATAATGGCCAAGCTAAATCTCTCTGTTTGGATGACGTCAGGCATCGGTATGGTGACACCGGGCATGAGTCAAACAAAAACTCTCTACCTGAGTTGGGATTTGGCGTGATACTTTATTACACTAGACACAAGGTCTCAAGGTTCTTTACCTTAGCCACATTGAGTGCAAGTTGTGTTGCATTGAGCATGGGCAAGGTAGAGAAATCACTGCCTGGATGGCGTTGAGCATTCAGTGTGTATTGTCAGGCACTGGTTGCTAAAGAAAAACATGATGATGTATTTGATTAAGTGTTGAATACTTGAAGATTTAGTTCTTAAATGAATAAATGATAAATGAGTTGCAAGGATGATGTTGTATCTGTTATTTGTGTAGTTGTGTTGAATATGTAACAAGTTGTTATGTTGTTGAGATGTATGATGACTAAGAAGTTGAATCTGAGTAGTGATGATCGAGTTATGAGATGTAGAGTTGTATGTTGATTTCATTATTATGCAAAAAAGTTGTTGTATTGTTGAGATGTGATGACCATTTAGGACTAGAGGAGAGATTTTTTAAAATTTCATATCTCATTTTGTGGATATAGTGTTGTGATACTCCGAGAGCCCAGTTTGTTGACCCTTAAAGTAAATAGTTGTGTTGAGTCTACTTTAGAACTTAATTAGTATAGTGTGTGGGCAAGGTCAAGACACACATGTATAAAACGACCAAAGTATAAGGGCTAGGTCGAGTTATACTGATTACAGGTGATAAACCGAGTAAAATACAAAGTCAAAAACTTAGTTCCTAATCAAGTATCGAAAATGCGTAGTATTTGGAAGGTACACTACAAGAAAAATGTAAATTTTTGACGGACATAATCTGTCGGTAAAAAGGAATATTTGTCAAAAATAAAGAATTTTCGACTGATGCAAATCCTTCGAAAAAGGGGGTGTCGAAAAAAACAATTCGTTGGAAATAATTTAATTTGTCAAAAAAATTTGATGAAAATATCAGTCAATAATTATCCATCGGTAATTTTCAATGGATATATCTGTCGGAAATTGTTTGAAAATCTTTATGTGATTTCTATGGATAAATTCGTTGAAAAATTACTGTTTAATTTTAATAAATTTATTAATGTAAAATGTAACATAGTAGGTTATTTCAGAAGGCCCAAAAGTCCAATATGGGTGATTTAGTAGCCCAGAACGAGTCGTTCCCAATCTGGAACGGGCTGCTCCAAACTACTAAATTGACCTGTAAATCGTATTTGAGAACGAGCCGTTCTAGATGGGGTACGGGCCATTCTAGAGGGAGTACGTGGCATTCTAGAGGGAGTACGGGCCGTTCTGGATGGAGAACGGGACGTTCTGGATGAATCCCAGAACGGGTCGTTCTAGTTTCAGAACGGGCCGTTCTGCATGTGATTTTTGTACGTGATGAAGGGGTGTAGAACGTGCTGTTTCAGATTCAGAACAGGCCGTTCTGGCCATTCCTGAACTTCTATAAATAGAGGTTGTGTGATTGAGGAGAAAGTGAAGTTTTTAGAGAGAAGTTTTAGAGAGAAGGACTCTGGGTCTATGAGCTCCTTTCTCTCCCAAATTTCTCTATATGATTCCTTTTCTCCTCTAGATCACTAATGCCTTCTGTCTTTTCTTGAAATTTCGATTAGGAAGCTTGCTTTGGGAGGATTGAAGTTCCCGATTGAGTTTCGGAAGGGAATTCTACTTCTTCTTAGTTATTGGCTATTTTGAGCCAATCTTCAGGTGAGGGAAGCTAGAATATTTGTTGTTTAAGTTGAATGTGAGTTGAGAAACTCAATTGATGCATGAAAGTTGAGGATCCATGGCTGGCTTGGAGAATTCGCTCATTTTTTAGGTTTTGAGAAAAAGGAGGATTTTGATGATTTTGATGCATAGGTTGGATGAATGTGAGATTTAAGTTTATTTTGAGTTATATGGAACCTATGCATTGTGTTTTGTGTTTGCATGTGGTTGGATTTGTTGGTTTGGATGAGATTTTTGAAACTCTCTGACTAGGATTAGGCTAGGCGCAGGTTGAGCGCACCGAGCGTGGAAGAGCTTAGAGCTCTTGGGTTGGTGTTAGGCCAGGCATGAGCTGATTGCGCTGAGCGTGAATATGTTTATAAATAATTGATTTAAATTGATGCTTAAGCATGGTTAAAGTTAAAGTTTTAGATCATGTATGTATGATATATGATGTATGGTGCGGTGTGATTCATATGTATGCTTTATGATGATACGTATGAATGTTTGAATATGATATGACATATGTATATGTTCATATGAGTATGTTTATTGATCATGATGGTGGGTAGACCATGTATGATGTATGATGCATTATTGCATGTGATGTCTTATGACATGTGTATGATTGTTGATCATGATGGTGGGTAGACCATGTATGATGTATGATGCATAATTGCATGTGATTCCTTATGACATGAGTCTAGCCTAGAACTTGAGGAGAGAAAAAATATTTTCGAACTAGAAGAGCTCACATAGAGTCTCTTGAGAGTGGTGCTTGGATAGGCCACTGATATATGAGAGTGGTGCTCAGGTATGCCACTGGATTTAGGAGTGGTGCTTAGGTAGGCCACTAGGTTGGGTGAGTCTCCTTTAAGTCCTTAACTCGTTTTGGAGCGGGGGATGAGGGCGAGGGCTATTCCCTTAACCAAGTACTCGGGAAGGTGCGTGGATCCTTGTGGATAGTTGGTGGGTGAACTCCACAATTGACTTGGTTATGCATGCC